CAAACCGTTGGGAGTCCAAGAAACAAGATGAAAGTGGTCCACCTGGAGAGGCTTGCTGAGTTTGGAACAGCCAATGTGTCTGATCGGGACGATCGAAAATGCGAGGCGAATGTCAGATGAAAGAGAGAAGCCGATAACTAGTACATTCTAGAAACGATAAAACAAGAACCTTGGATAGCGAACAACTCGATGCTTCAATGCTTTCGTCTGCGAGCAGTCGACTGCTAAATAAGGGCGACACTCAGCGGCCAAAAAGTTAGTTACAAAGTGAACTCGTTGGCGTTAACATGAAGTATAGCGGAGTAAACGCGTTGGAGATTACATTTAAAAAAAGTAAATTGTGAAAGTTGATGCTAGTGATTGTAAATAGTAAAGTGCATTGTACATTGACATTAGATTAATTCTTTATAACTAAAGAAACTGCAAATTAAGTTGGCGAGTTTTTATTTAACAATCCAGGGATCGTACCGAATCGAAGGATTCAGGAATAAATCGAGGTTGATTTAGCAAAATCGTAACAATGTGTTAATATAACTTCTCTTTTGTTGTTGTTGTTGTTATTGTTGTTGCTGCTGTGTGTGGCTCCATGGCCTCGGACTTGGGGTCTTCACAATCCTTTCCCAGCTCTTCCTTGAACCCCGTCTCTTCACCTCTTTCTGCATATGATGTATGCCAATATTAATTTTTTTACGCTGAGATACGTTAGTTTCACTCTTCTTGCAACTAGATTTTCTGAAAATTACGCAAAGTCCACTATAGTTGAAGGCACTATGGAACACAATTGCTTATGAAGACATAACGGGACTTTTGAAAAAAATTTGCTAGGTCAATCAAATGTAAGCGAAATAGTCTAGTGAAATTTAGTTGTGCCAATGCCTTTTCTTTGGTGAAAATTAGTACTTTTCTCATTTACAATAAGTATTAATTTAAAATAAAGATAATCAAATGAATTGTAGTGAAAATAGTTGAAAGTTTGGCCCTCTATCTAACAATTTTTTTTTTGGAATGTTTTCATAAGTGGTCAAAAAATAGTTAAATTTGAACTGTCTTGTTGTGTCAATACTATAATTCATCCCTATATGTAGCCTTGTGGACTTTTGAAACAATTTTTCGTACCTTGAAAATACAGATGTACTCTATTTATTCTGTTTCACTGATTGGCGATAGAGTATATTATGTTGCAGGCTTTTGTTTTCCGTCCATATATAATACATAATATGATTTTCATTTTTGGAAATGTGTCTTTAGTATTGTTTTGTTAATGAAATTCGCGGTGAATGCAAAACTTAATATCGTCTCAGGATCGTGGGTTTGCTATTCGAATCACCAGTTGGGCACTTCCGATAAGGATTCGACGAGCGGTCAGCGTCTAATTTTTTCGTCAAACTGTATGTTTGAAGTATTTATTTTAGGCCACCTCTCCATCTGCCGGCAACGGTGTCATCGTCACTACTGAATTTCGGTTTTGAGATCTCCCTAACGCTTTTTCTTTCAGGTTGTTGGTCTCTTGGTTTTGCTTAAGTATTTTCAGTCGCTTCTTGAGCTGTGCTTTTAGCGTAGCTAGTTAGTCTAACGTAACGGAATGATTTTCTGTAGTGTCCTTTGCTGAAGATTAATTTGCTGAAAGTTTGCTGGTGCTGTCATCAGTATATCTTTGTAGAACGAGCTATGCGCTGTTAACCTGTGGTATAGCCTTTTCTTCTTACTAAATCGTACTTGCGAAGGTGCCATGTTACAGTTCTGTTAAATTTAATTTTTTCAGTGTGGTTGCCAGAAAACTTTTCCATTGATAAATGTTTGTTGGATCTGAGAATCTGATTCCCAGTTCGCAAGCTGCGTCCGCAATCTGTTGACATTGCATTTCAACTTAACCTTCTTACTTATAAAAGATTCCGCACCGGACCTTGTTGGCTTCTTACTAGCCGAATGAGCCGTTTTATTTACTTCCCAGCAATGTAACCCTACACATTAGTGTCTCGGAGAAAGCGTTCAAAGTCAGCAGACCAACGTTTTGTTGATTTTGATGAAATGGATTTTTTAACACTTCTGGCCATTTGTAAACAATACTTTTCTTAAACATAAATAGTGCGTTGCTGTGCATAATAGCTTTCAAACTTATCAGGAGGTTAGTAGTAGCTGAAGAACATAAGTGGTGAGCCCGGGAATTTCGAACTCCTGTTCTATTTTACTATTTATAAACAAATTTCTTAATGAGGTAAAAGTGGTTTTGTGTCGCAACACAGAAAAGTAGGGACAAATTACCGTTGAATAAAGGCCTGATCTATGTGTGATACTTATGCATCTAAAATCATTTTGATACTATAATTAGAAACTTCCGTATTTATACATATATCAGGCTCGAACATAATTTCTCTTGTATTGTTTTCTTTTGTTGTATTAGATAACGAAATTAAGAATTGAACACTGCTCGCATTACACAAGCTGTTCTTCTTGCTTGGAATCACGCGACCCTTTCTGCGGCTGGTGTTCTTTGGAAAAGCGTTGTACTGTACGATCCACATGTCAGAAAGACACATCTGCTGCACGTTGGATTTCATTAGGAAGTGGACAACAATGCATCGATTTCGAGTCAATTGTTCCCGATAAAATACCGATTACTGAAATAACGCAAGTACAGCTAGTAATACGTACGTTGCCAGACCCGTTAAATGCTAAATATCGTTGCGTGTTCGGAAATTCAAATCCAATCGACGCTGATGTACTCGAAAACGGATTAGCTTGTATGACCCCACCTTTGGATGAAAGACCTAATATAGGATCAAATTTAGATCATGTTCTGGTTCCTCTCTCAGTTCGGAGCTCCGAAACAAATAAAGACTTTGTATCACGTTCCTTTGCTTTTTTCGATTGTTCGCGACATAGTACTTGCCAAAAATGTGTTCTAAGTATATGGGGCTGCAATTGGTGTATATATGATAATAAATGTGTCCATAAAATGGAGCAGTGTAGAAATATGGAAAACATTGTTAGTACCGAAGACGTCTGTCCTCATTTAAAACCCTATTTACAACCAATACTATTACCTGTACAAGTGCCAAAAGAAATAAGACTAGAAATTGAGAACCTTCCAAAGCCAAAAAGTGCTCACTCTGGATTTCTATGCACCATTCAAATAGAAACATCTCAAATGCTTTTACCAGCTAGAATAGAATCCAATAAAATCGTAGTTTGCGAGAAGACACCGGTAAGAAAAGTAGTTACAAAATTATTAACATTTACTGTAAGTTTTTCTTTTAGTACTTTTATGAAACGAATACTCATGAATACGAGGCTAAAGTGGATATTACATGGAATCGACTACATTATGTGGACACGGCAACCATAATTTTGTACAAATGTGATATTTTAGGATCACATAGAGAGCACGCAGACTGTAGCTTATGTGTAACAAGGGACCCAAAATATCAATGTGCGTGGTGTGGTAATTCGTGTGTTTATAATGAAACTTGTTCATCTGATGCGTTCGAGAATGCTGTTGCTTTATATGATCCGACATTATCAATGGCTCGTGTTCATGAGTGCCCCCGTCCTCGCATTGATGTAATAAAACCATTATCTGGTCCGATAGAGGGAGGAACTTTAATAACTATTGAAGGCAGCAATTTAGGCATTCGGGAAGAGGATGTTCGTGGAAAAATATCCGTCGGCAAAGTTCCATGTGAACTAGTGAGTTACGAAATATCTGTGAAAATCGAATGTCGTACGGGTGCTGTTGCGCACGAGTTTTCTGCTCCTATAAAAGTTGCAAATGAAGCTGGCTATACGGAATCCACTGTTCAGTTTCACTTCAAAAATATTCAACTTAATGGATTACAACCAACCATAGGACCAAAATCAGGAGGTACACAAATCTCTCTTATAGGAAAGTACCTTAATATCGGCTCTCATATACGTGCATTTTTAGACGAGTATGAATGTCATATAAATGTTACGCAAGCATCTTCGTCTCGTTTAACTTGCATTACATCCGAATCTACACAACCGGAACCAATACGAACTTTGCGTTTGGTTGTTGATGGTGCTAATCGTACATACACGTGTAACAATCCAATATTTCCCCTAATTCATTCGAAAGGAAACTTTTATAGTCAACATCAAATCGTATCAACTGAACAAGATAATGCTTATCACTATCAAATACCCACACCCAGAGTTTGTTCAATTTTTAATTACACGCAAGACCCACGAATAATGCAAATAAAACCCCTTAGAAGCTTTGCAAGTGGTGGCAGAGTTTTAACTGTGCATGGGTTATACCTTAATTCGATACAGAAACCTGAAATAGAAGTTACAATTGATAATGAGTATGTTAATAAAAGTGCTTGTATAGTGATTAATTCAAATCAGATGGAGTGCCCTTCGCCATCAGTGCATTTAAAGTTTGTGGAATACAAAGTTTCGTTGGAGCAAATGCAAACAGTGTCTTCAAGTCCATATGCTTCATCATTGGGGAGATATGGTACTGACATTTTTAACAAAGGTAGCACGCAAAGTAGAGATTATTCTTCATACACCACAATTAGCAACTCGACAAATGGGTATTTTTCTGAACAAGGTGTGACTGCTGAGGCTGCCACTTTTGTAAAAACGCGTGAAACACAGCTAAATTTGCAAATTGGTTTTATCATGGATAATGTGCATTGGGTACGCGATCTGAGTAAATATTTCCAAAATATTCGGAGCACTATCGTTTATGTAACCGACCCAAAATATACTCCGTTTCCCGGTGATGTTAAGCTTTATAAAGGTGATACTCTTGTAATCGAGGGAGAACAATTAAATATTGCTGCTGACGAATATGATGTTAATGTAACAATTGGTACTTCGCCTTGTAATATTACCAGTTTAGCATTGAATCAATTAGTTTGCATTCCCCCAGATAAGCAACCCGCACCAACTGACGAAAATGGTTTAGAGCAGCCGAACTCTTTACCTTTAGTTATTGTAAGGGTTGGTAGAAATTTACGTTTTGTTATTGGCCACCTAAAATATGACTTACATAAGTCGTACTCCTTCTCAAATGCACTGGTAGCTATCGTTATCGCAATTTTAATAGCACTAGCGGCTTTGTTTGTAGTTCTTGTTATATACAGACGAAAATCAACACAAGCAGAAAGGGAATATAAACGTATACAAATTCAAATGATCACATTAGAAAGCAATGTGCGCTCAGAATGCAAGCAAGCATTTGCAGAATTGCAAACCGATATGACGGACCTGGCCGCTGATTTGGAGAGTAGCGGAATACCGACCCTTGACCATGTCAATTACATAATGAAAGTATTTTTTCCTGGAGTTTCTGATCATCCCATTTTAGTGGCACCAAAGGTAAGTTATTTTATAAAATATTTATTTAGAAGAGATATGTTTATCTGTACATCTCATACCCCATCTCGATCAAAGGAATAGATCGATTAAGTACGATTGATTTTAAAAATAAAATATGTAAACTATTAAGATTAAGCTTCTTCAAAAGTATCTTATTTTTACCACTATCGCCAATATGCAAGTAATACCACCGAATTTTTTTCAAAAAATGTAGACATATGCAAGGTACTTTTGAGAGGAATTGGTGTGTTTCAAAACGTCAGTTGCAAAGCAACCGTACATTGCATTCCTAAATGCAACTGTGCAAACTTTGACAATGTATCGTGTATCGCTGCGCAATGCCAAGGTCTTTTAGCATTATTATATTACTTATGATTTTGATCTGTTTCCTTAATGCCAGAGTGTGCAAGGTATTGTTGTTTTGTATATTTATGAAATGCAGGGATGCATTGTAATGATAAGGTTGCTCAGCGTCATTATTAAACACGTTTTTTGACGGTTCGGGGTTCGCCCTATTTGACCTTTTGTTCTGATTCTTCTTCTAACTTTTGCGCTAACCGCTTACTCCAAGCAAACAACAATACGCCGTTCCTTCTTTATTTTCGTTGTTCGACGATAATCACAAATACCAATCGTAATGAGGTTCTTCTTCGCCTGATCATCTCGAAAGAGGTGTTTCTTTATCTTTTCTTCCACCGGTAAGGGATGCGTCGAAAACTTTCAAAGCTGGAGAGATCTCTTTTTTCATTCGGTTCCCATGTGGTTCGCTGATATATGTCAATGTCGCTGCATTTCTCGTATAACTCATCGTTCCATAGGATGCGCTATTCGCCGTCACCAATCTATAGAGGACCATAAACCGTACGGAAAGCCTTTCTGAATGCTCCCCAGCGACTTGCAAATTATGATATTTGTTCGTTAAAAGAGGACTTCAGTTTTCAATTGCCTACTCAGTCCAAGGTACCCAAGGCACCTGTTTATTAATTAACAGAACGATACGTTTGGCTTTCTTTTCCGCAAATAATATCAATATCGCTTGCAACGCTAGAACGTACCTCAACTCAGGTGATTAGAAGTTGCAATTAGACTTCAGCGAACCCTTAAACCGAAAAGAAGATGAAACATTTCTCATAAAAATTCATTTATCCTTAGAATATGGTAGATTAGGCTTGGTAGAACTGGCTGAACCATTGGGTATCTCATAGATAAAAATATATCTTTAATGTTATCAGACACACTTAATTCGCAAATTGAAGTAGTCGTTCTGTCACCTTAGCAAGGATGTTATTTTACTGCCGAATGTTCGGCAGTCACATATTACGTGTTCCATAGCCTACGAAAATTCTACCAAAAGATTTTCTTGCCTTGCAGCATAGCTTTTTAATATAACCACAATATGGTCCGTACTCATTCCAGTACGGAGTAAATGGAAGTCTCCCTTATACTCTTTCTTAGAGTTTCCACCTGATCAGTCTACTGTTGGCCTTGCTGAACTCTCAAGACAGCCGGGTTGATTCGGATATTGTCCGGCCAAGCGTTGTCAACCTTTCAGCGACCTACCCCGTTTAGATCAACAGGTAACATTACCAACACCTCGTAGCTGGGCCCAACCCTGGTTCGAAGGATTAATTCTGCTGCGTGTGCCAGAAGAGACTCCACTCCTCCACCTTAGTTAGGTGGAACCAATGCAAAGGTTAGAGTCATCTTAAGACCTATAGGGAGTGGAACACAAGTTATGTGGCCCGATGCTACCAGCGCTAAAGCGTGCCCCCAGCCTCCACGGCAGGGCCTTCAGCAGCACAGTTAGGCTATTCGACATCCTGCACAGTGAACGATAACAGCCCCACCAGAGTTATGGGTAATTGCCAAAGTTCGCCGGATATACAATTGTGAGTGCTGGTCTGATATACATCGTCCGATATGCTTTACGTGAGTACCTGCCGACGTCGGCATAACCTCACGGTGCTCGAAAACACAACGGATCAAACCAATGCGTTGATCAGCGCCTCTTAATGCAAGCATTATGGTATTAATTGGTAATGTGGGGGGCCTATCCGCTTGAACAGGTCGGGGCAAGCTCCGAGGGCTCCTGTTCCCCGTGGTACCAGATTTAGGTCTCCGGTCGAGCCTCGTAGCCGAAACTACTACCAGTTGAGCTTCCATACAGCTCCGGACTGGTGGCCTGGGGTTGAACTTCATTCTCCGCGTACCGACTCAAACATGCTCATTCATACTCCTAACATAATGGTCAATTAAACCTCAGATGCCTTCGCCGTCTAAACACATCACGCGCAAACACTTCAAACACACGCATGTACTCTCAACATGAGAGAACATCACACACCCTATACCGGGCATTCACACAACACATGCATCCAATCCTCTCGCTCTATACCATACTCACAGCTCGCCGTTCCGCTCAAGTGCCTCTCATGCAGAAAAGCATTTAGAGGCCCATGACCGGTTAGCAAAAAACCCATATTCAGAGAAAATCTGAAGTCTGAATTTTCCACCACAAACGAGATATCCCGAATGTACTCATATGTCACGCGACCATTAAAGCTATTCTACCAACGGTCTTGCCACTTCCTAAACACACATGCACTTTGAAGCCTACGGCATTCTAAGTACCCACACTCTAGGTCCCTATCAGTTAACCAACCATCCTGCAGCAATTCAACACTCAATCCTCTCTTCAGCTTGAAGGCTACAGCACGCTGTATCACCACCAAGTCGAGCGGAGGGGCACCCACTAATACCTGCAACGCCTCAGTAGAGACGGTGCGGCACACTGACACACAAGCTAACAACTTCACTCACTGCGCTCCTTCAAAGTCAATAAATATGCCCAGAAGGTATTTATTGACATTCCCTCTAACAACATTTTGAACATACATCCAAGCATCTTCCACACCACGTCTTTTCCGAAAACCATATTGCCTATCCGACCACTTACCTCTCATTAGCTCCTGAAGACGTTCAACCAGAACCCTTTCCAGCACCTTGCCAAGTACTGGAAGGAGACTGATGCCCCGGTAAGATCGAGGATCACTCCTGATCTTATCGGGGAACTTCAGGAGAGGAACAACCCTTGCACACTTCCACACACGTGGGTAGTAACACTCCCTTATGCATTTATGGTAAATAGCCTCCAGATAGTCAGGAATGAACTTCCACAAGCTCCTGCACATCTCTCCGTTCAAACCGTCGTGACCTGGCGACTTTTTACTCCTAACCAGGCTAAATGCATATCATAGTTCATCTTCGTCTGTTGGAGGCACGGGCACCTCTTGTGCATGAGGTACCTGTGATTCCGCCCAAGAAAGAACGTGTTAATCAATACATTCCCGCATTCCCTCCATGTTGATAGTACAGATCCATCAACACGGAGAGAATTTACATATTCATTCTTCCTACCACGACAAATCCTATAGACATGACCCCAGGGATCATCCCTATTGGATTCAACAAACATTCTCCATTCATTCTCCTTGATTCTCACCAACATCTCCTTAAACTCATTCATACAACGCCTAAATTGGATCTTCAGACGATCCACACTCTCGCGGTTGCCACGACGGGCGCGTTGAAACTGACGTCTCAACCGCCGGACGGACTTCCTCTTTTCACTCAATTCCCTTGTCCACCACTTCACAGACCTTCTCACACTGTCATTCTTCCACCTACGAAACGAGCTATTTGCTCATCCACACTCAGCTCTTCAAACACACTAAGCGCTGTACGAGACATCGCTTCCCTAACATTCTGTCCATAAAGGACCCAAACCACACGAGAAGTACGCCACCTTTTAAGCATACTCACAGCCTCACTACTTGGGGGAGTAGTGGGAGAAGTGAACACAACTTCAATCAAGTTGTGATCACTTATTCCTCAACCTCCCCTAATACTCCACCTAAAAACGAACACCCTATTTGCTGCCACATTCATAAGCGTAACGTCAATATCACTCATTTTTCCTGGCCCTTCAAACGTATACCACTCACTCGGCTCAACCATAACAAGGAGACTATTTGTCTCCAAGCCTCCAGGTAGACCTCTTACCACACCATTGGTGGCATAAGGCTCCTGGAGCAAAGCAACGCTGTAACCCCCCTCAGACACACAGGCTCCAAACTGACACATACTGGCGTAAGACCCCTGACAATTTAACTGAATTGCCCTAACCATCAGTGTCTGGGAAGAGCACGGGCAACGATAGCACCGTAAATAGGGCAAGCAGCCGACATCATAAGATGACCGACTGAAAGGCCCTTAAACTGACAGTTGCGACAGTGCACTGCATTGCCGCAGCCTGCCGATCTGTGCCCCTCTTGCCCGCACTCAGCCACTCTATGATCAAAATCCATACACCGGAAACAGCCTGGCATTGAGTTGTCCGATCGCACTCGGAAGGAGAACCACTTGATGTAGCAACGCCCGTTCGCCAGTAGGACCGACATAAATCTGTCCGCACCCTCCAAGACAACGTTCGTCGTACCATCAGGCGTTTTCTCCCAAGGGCGACTGACCAACCGAATGTCTTGCGGTCGGCATCCGGGACTAAGATTCTCGAAGTTCATCCGGATTAAGTCACTCATGAACTCGTCAGGAGTGATCTCCGTATGAACCCCTTGAACCACAACCCTGCTTCCTAGCTTCCGGTTCACTTCCACATCCAACTACACCTCCTTGAAGCGCTCGTTTTTGGCGACCTCTCGCTCAGCAACAGAAGGCGTCCGAATAATCGCCCCGCCGCCTTTAACGGCCTGCACCTCATGTACCCTAACTTTAAGGTTAGGGCACACCTCCTTCACCACCTCCTTTGAAGTGGTAGAAGGTTTTTTACTCCTCACCACGACCGACCATGTCTCTACCGGCTTAGGTAGCGTCGCAGCATGAGCCCCAAGTGCAGGCACTGGGGGCGCTGGCATCAAAGCTCGCTCAGTCGCCACAGTCATGGCCGGGCCGGGCTTCTGGAGTCCCTCGATTTTCCAATGAAGGTGAGCATTCTCGGCAATTGCCGTCATCAGAAGCTCTTCGTACTCCGAAGAGAACTCCAGCAGCTTCTTCATGGTATAACTACATTACACGCAGCGCTCACCATCTTGACGGTAATGGCCTTACTCGCCTTGACGATACCGCCTTCACGAGACCGCCTGAACCCTTCCCCGCCTCAGCAGACGCTCCACCGCGCATGGCGCTAACGGTGACGTTGCTGGCCGCAGTGGGCCCCTCAATCGACTTTTTGGTCGCACCATTGTATGTTGACCCCCAAACTGTTTGGAACCAGCCGCCCAGTAGACAAGCCTCTGTAAGCCCCAATCAATCGATCCCCCACGGGTAAAACCCGCTCTCGCTACCGATACCGCTCCCGCGCCCGTCTCCATGCGCTTCCTCGGTGGCGAGTCCCTGACCCACGCCACCGCACACGTCTCCTCGCCTCCAGACGTCGAATCATCATTCCGCGTCGACGATGCGAAACCCCGTCTATCTGCTCCACGGGTGGAACCCCGCTTCCGCTGGGTAGCCTTTGGCACCCCAGAAGGGCTTACCGATTCGCCGGACCAGAAATGTCCAGGAAATTCAGCTGAATAGCAACAAAGCTGATGCGATCACCCGGTTGGATCACAGACGGCTAAAGCAAAACGAGGGGGTGCAACCCACACCACCAGACCAAAGGTCCGGCACAGGTCATCACCTAGCCTCGCCGGACGGAAATAAATCCCCGTATCGAGGATGGGTCTACCAACGTGGAGACTACACCGAGCACGTACTGTGGGAATTAAACGCAAGCTACCACAATCGCAGTCCAAGTGGAAAGCTGCACCCACACTAGCAGAACTCTAAGACACTTGGCCCAACACGGCGTACCAACTGGTAACCGCAGACAAGTCATCGGTGCGCTAGCGCTCCCCAGTAGTAGCCGAAAAACAACAGAAACGCTCGAATTTTTGTTGCGTCACTAAGAACCCGCAAAATCAACACGCTTGATAAATTTTACCGCTATTACACCGACGCGTAAACAACTTGTTTATTATGGCACAGAAGACCCGTTGCGCACAAAAACAACACGCACGCTATAATAACCGCGTGCTTTACTCAAGCCACCAGGACAGCCAATCACAAACAAGTAAACATCTTGTTTACAAAGAGTTGGCACAAGCACCGTATATGCGCAAAAACAACGCTACGGTGTCAGTCACTATCTGTATCACTACCACATAAATCACGAATATCGCACGAAAGAGAGAACGCAAAAGTTTAGCAAAATCGCATAGATCGCTCAATAACACACGTCTGCTCGCTTCGAACTCCAAACGACAAGTGGTTTGATATACAGTATAGTCTGGCGCCCTGTACTTAAACTAGCATCGGACCACTTAACCATACAAATCTCGGTTGACCGGCCTCCCGACTTTTTTTCGCGGCTCACCGGACATTTGTCAAGATCAAAAAAGCTAACTGGTTTGGCTTCACGGAATTCCCCGAGAACGCCTTTAGTGTTCCCCCAGTTCATCAGACTATTGGTAAATGTCTGCCGCCATCTCGGCAGGCCGAATCCAATCCAATTTCCCGACAGAAGCGACGGTTTTGGTATCTTTTCGCGACACCCTTTGTGATTCCGATACCGGGAATTCCTTAATCAGGGACTTAAACGAGGAAATTCGCAAAGATGTAAACAAACAGAAGCGAGAAAAAAGGTGGGGTACTTAAGGTCAAACTCTAAGCTGTAGTGGAATCGTTGTCTAGCCCCACTGATGTTTAATATCTACATTTCGAAACTCGCTCCTCTACCAGAAGGAGTTTCCAAAACCTCGTTTGCCGATGATTGCATGATAATGTCATCTGGCCAGGATATTGATGACCTTTGCTCAAAAGTGAACTGATACCTTGCCGATCTTTCTCACTTCTTCACTGCACGACAATTAAAACTACAGCCGACTAAATCCTCGGTTACCCTTTTCACCAGCTGAACGAATACAGGCTTGAACTAGATGTGAAAATATTGGAAGTTACACTACACAGCCTGCACTCCTTTGCACCAGTTGCACAGCGAAGCATATATGCTACGAGTTCCTATTGGGATGTTACCGCCGGGAGCACCCCTATAGGCACCTATTAAAAGCTGAACCTCCACTTAGGCACATCAGAAAGGGAGTACTAGACTTAAAGAACACCATCTAGCAATATGTATAACAACCGCTGGAGAGGGAGCCCCTGCGGGTTAGGTCTTTATACCGGAACGACCCAGATTTTTATCCGGCCCAGGACTGTCACTCCCGCAACAACAACAACAACGGTGCACAGACAGTCACTTACCACCATTCGCCAGGAGTCAGTCAACACCTTCAAAGGCTCCCTTCCAGAGAATGCCGTGCTCGGTGACCTTGCCTCAACTTAGGCATAGATATTGTAGCAGGTTAAACTTCTACATATCCAGCGTACCCAACGTATGCCCTGCATGTGGAGAGTCTCCGCACGACACTAAGCACCTCCTCACATGCCCCCTTAATCCGACTCATCTAACTCCTCTCTCCCTTCAGTCCAATCCCGTCGAAACAGCACGTTTTCTCCAACCTTCCACTAGAAGACCTCGATGACTTACATTGATCATACCTGTACCTGTTAAACGGGGTTTGCGAACCGCTGCAACAACAACAACAATTGTTGTCCTTGCTGCTACGAATTGGATAAGAGGTCTTACAGTCAACGAGTAAAAAGGTTGTGAGATTCGTACTAACTTTATCAATTATCACTATTCAACAACCCCTTTGGTTTCTAATGGTCCTTATTATTATATCTTGCGATTTTGTCTGTCAAAGTAGAAAACTCTATATATTTTTGATCGGAAAAGGATGCGACGATGTTGGTGTAATATTTGAAACATTTTTGACGTTGATCCAATGTAGGTATGTTCAGTACCTCTATAATCTTACCCATATTCTGTACCTTCCTGATAACTAACATATGGAATGCATCGAAGTTTGCTGACTTAAGTCTAGAAAATATTGCTAGTAGGAAAAGATCCTTCCGTCATAAGTCTTCAACCATGGAGCAGCTGTTAGAAAAATAAATGGATACTTTCCGTAAATATTTCAAATAATTATTAAACCCGCTGAGCCAAGGTATTCGTTTTAGAAACGGAAAGAAACTATTTCGGAAGAAAATCGTGTTCATTTTCCCCTCTCTCAGTCTAAACGAACAATGCAACAGGGAAACCTTCGCGGTTAAATATAGTGAATATCTCTTGGATCCCAGGTCCCGAGAACTAGCCGGATAGCGCTGACGAGAATTAGAATTATATCTTATACTTTGGCAGACCACATACTTACTTACTTTACGGGCGCAGACACCGCTTACGCGATTTTGGCCGATTTAACAACATTTCGAGTAGAAAATCGTTCGGCAATCTGTTGTGATTGCAGCTTTTCAACGTCGAACTTTCCTTGCGTTTGTTGACGGGCGTTCTTCGATACACAGAGGCTTATGCTTATCTTTGCTGCAACAAGGTCCGAGTCGATGTTGGCTCCTCGGGGTGTACGCACGTCAAGAACACTGGAGACATGTCTTCCGTCTATTACAACATGGTCGATCTGATTTTGTGGTTTTCGATCAGGGGACAGCCAAGTGGTTTGATAAATTGTGCTGGAATCTAGTATACAGACAACCATATCTCCGGCCCCGGTGAAGTCGATCAGCCTTAAACCATTAGGGGTTGTTTCGTTGTGAAGGCTGAATTGTCCAACAGTTGTACCTAAGATACCTTCTCGCTCGTAAGCATGCTCTAGGCGCTCATAAAAGGCATCTTTGGCCAAATCGTCGGGGCGTGGTCGCAAATCAGCGATGTGTTGAAGATTTTCGGTTTGATGCGGATTGTGGCGAGACGCTCATCCACCGGGGTGAATTTCAGTACTCGATGACGGAGTCTCTCTCCCACCATTGGGGCTGGTTTCTACATGGGGGGTCCCAAACCCAACGCACAACCTCGCTAGGCGAGTAAGTTTAAAGTTTTTTTTTACATATTTATATAGCGAGCGGCTTGCTTTAAGACCGACGCCCGCTCTCTGCCGCACCTCTGGTGAACAGACGCTGCAATTAGACTTCAGCAGACCCTTAAACCAAATAAGTCGGAGTGGCCCCACTGAAGCTGTCTCTCTCATTAGCCGTGACCCTAGGCTCCACACGGGTTGGTTACCGCATCTTGCACAAGGGTTGCTCACGTTTCCAGGGTGCGCAACGTGGACGCAAGAATAGGAATTGAGTATAGCCTCGCAACTGTAACCGCATACCCAGAAGCTTTACTACACACCATTACACCCCAGACCTCATATGTATATAAATAAAAATATTTAACTTCATAATATTTTTTTACTAAAATATATATTCAAAAACTTATGCTCTACTAGCTACGAATGAATACTCCCCATACTCCATATGATACAGCAATGCTACAGTTCGAACAATTAATAAGCAACAAATATTTTTTGTTAGCTTTCATCGAAACGTTAGAGTGCCAAAAAACGTTCAATATCCGAGACAAGTAAGTAACGATTTAGATTAAAACTTAATGTAAAAACTTTGCTGTTTTCATTTATTTGTCTACTTAGAGTTAATGTGGCTTCCCTGGTAATGATCGTTTTAATGAATAAAATGGAATATGCAACGGAAATTTTAAAATGTCTATTATTACGTTTAGTAGATAAATCGGTGATGGGGAAACATCCACATTTAATGTTGCGTCGTACTGAAAGCGTTGTTGAAAAAATGCTTACAAATTATATGGCAATTTGTATGTATGACTACTTAAAAGAATATGCTGGGTCGAGTTTATTTCTTCTTTTCAAAGCAATTAAGCATCAAATAGAAAAAGGTCTTGTAGATGCTGTTACACACGAAGCGCGGTATTCATTATCGGAACAGCGCTTACTTCACGAACAAATTCCACATTCTGTTGTAGTATTACAAATTGTTCAGGATGATCTTGATGAAAAAATCCATTGCAAAGTGCTTGATTGGGATACTATTTCCCAAGTGAAATCGAAAATACTGGATGCCCTATTTAAAAATACACCGTTTTCTTGCCGGCCATCAGTTCACGAAGTCGATTTAGAATGGCGCCATGGACGAGGGGGTCATTTAACACTGCAAGATGAGGATTTAACAACAAAGACAATAAATGGTTGGAAGCGTCTTAATACCTTAGCACATTATGGAGTCAAGGAATCGGCGGTTATGTCATTAATAGCACGGCAAGGTGATGGGTACCATATTCACTACAATAAACAACCACCATATCACAATTGTAAGATAACGTAATTATATATGGCAAGCATAATAAAATATATTTTAAATTTTAATTTCAGTTTTTTACATGAAAAATTCCCAATCTCATATTATTATTAATAACGACATAGAAAGCGGTCTTCAACTACCACGGGTATTTCACTTGGTGAAACCAGATGTGCCCGACAATTACATGAATATAAAAAATGCTGTATTTTCTGGGGGCACTGTGAGTACAACAACATGCAGTGCATCTAATGAGCGCGTAAACAAAACAATACCAGAAGTTTATTTAACAAGATTATTGGCAACAAAAGGCACGATACAAAAATTTGTTGACGATTTCTTTGCAACCATATTAGCAATAAACGAAGAATTACCTCCGGCTGTAAAGTGGCTATTTGATCTTCTGGACGAAGCCGCACGAAGACATGATGTTGACTTAGAAGTTTTACATGCATGGAAATCTAACGGTTTACCTTTGCGATTCTGGGTAAATTTTATAAAAAATCCGGACTTCATTTTTGATGTAAATAAGACGATAACGTTAGATTCCTGTTTGAGCGTAATAGCGCAAACATTTATGGATGCTTGTTCCACATCAGAACACCGATTGGGTAAAGATTCGCCTTCAAACAAGTTATTATTTGCTAAGGTTTGTTCTTTATTCTTTGATCCATATAAAATTTGCTCTCGGTAATACTTGTAATCTTAGGATATTCCACAATACCGTAAGATGGTTAGACAATTTTACCGCGAGGTTACCCGCTTGCCACAGATAAGTGATCAAGAAATGTATACAGCTATGCAGCAAATATCAGTGCAACAGAGTGATGAATTTGATACAATAGCGGCTCTGAAAGAGCTATATATATATGTTACAAAATACTGGGATGAAGTAAGTCAAACTCCACTGTATAGTATCCTCAACATTTTATCATTATCCGATACCCATGAATTTGAATTTCAAATGATTTCAGATGTCAAACTTACTTTTATTATTATTATTGTCTTTATCGATTTCATTATTATTATTGTGCTTATTATTATTGTTAGAGTTTGTCCATCTCGGTAGGGTCCACACATACCGCAGATAGCTTTTGCAATGTCTTGTTTTTTTTTTTTTAATTTTTTGAGTTTGCTATTGCAGTATTCAAATATAATTGTTTGTAGAATCATTCTATATTACGTGTGCCTCCGAAAATTCCATTTCGAATTTTTACATGAAATTTTTTTTCGATTTTGAGACTTTCGCTTATTTATAAAAACCTAGCTGTAAATAACTTACGCTTCAAGCCAAATGCGACCTATTCAAACATAAAAAAGATGTAAAGGCAGCACACACACAACGCCTAAAACAGCTGATAAAATCGCACCTTAAGTCCAAAAACCTTTTCAAATCGATTAACTCCTTTGCAATACTATTTATATAGGGTATAATAAAATAGATCAATATAAATTTAGTAAACGCGTACACATAGCATAGAAAAACGGAACTTCAGTCTCACGGTTGCTATTCAGGGGCAAATATAAAACAAAAAGAAAGTAAGTATTGTAATATTGTATTACAAAGGACCCTACTGTTAACATGAATAAATGCCGAAAATGTTGTATATATAGAAAAACCATACACTGCACTACCCAAATATTATACAGCTGAGTTGAAAAGTCTCTGCGCTCACCAAGAAATATCACTATTAGCTCAAATTTGTTTTTTGTTTGAAGTTTGTATATCTGTCGTGAGAACAATGCAAAGTTGAAATGGGTTGTATTCCCTTCAGTTCATTCTTTGTTTACAATCCATTTGAAGATGACGTGTCAGAGTATTCTTTTTTAATATGGAAAAATTAAATATCGCGCAGTGATAAGATTCTTTGTTTTTAAAGATGTAAAGCAAATTTATTAACAATTGGTAGAAATTTATAAGAACGAGTACGTCATATTTTACACGTTACACGTTTGGAAAGTTAGTGGAGCATACACGGTGTGTCCCAAAACTAACCGAACTTTCTATTTAAATCGTACAACATACAGCGCCATCTATTGAAAATTTGCATCATTAAAAAGATACATTCATCCTCTTTCAAATGCACCTAACATCATGTAAGTCGTATGACAGATGTAAAAGTGACAGCCATTTCAATAAAACCAAAAGGGTGCTAATGGTTCAAAAATTAAATGGAACAAAGAGCAAATATAAAATTTTTTGTCAAAGTTGAAAAAAAATTAATGAGAAAAAGTTTATTGTGATGATTGTATGAGTCGTACGCAAGTTTATACGTGGTTTACACGATTTAAAAATGGTCGTGAGGATTTAAATGACGACCCTAGAGCAGGACGTCCAGATACTAGTAATCATGCTGAACTGGTGGAAAAAGTCCGTGAAATCATTGGTATCGATGAAAATTTTACTACGAGAATGTTGGCTGAGGAATTGAATACGAGTAAAAACACTATTTGGAGTATTTTAACTGAAGATTTGGGGAAAAGAAAGGTCTCTGCGCGATTTGTTAAATAACGACCAAAAAATCGCTCGAATTTTTAATGAAAAAAAGGATTTCTCTCATCGACCATCCTCCGTATTCGCCTGATCTCTCACCATGTGACAATTTTTTATTTCCAAAACTGAAAACCAAGATGAAGGGAGCATTTTATGATGATATCCCAGCCGTTCAAGCAGCCGTAACCGAGGTACTGAAGAACATTTCTAATATAAATGACATAAAACAATCTATGCATGCGCTGGTTGATCGTTCCAAACGTTGTGTTAAGTCAAATGGATCCTATTTTCAATAAATAATAACTTTCAAAGATAATATAATGTGCATTTTATTTTCTATCAAAAAAGTTCGGTTTTTTTGGGACACACCGTGTACGTTAAACTTAACAAAACCTGGGTCGAAAAAAGATCTGCAGAATGGTAAAAAAATCAAATTTGAATATCATTGCAGCATTTGTTGAATCAGCGGGATGAAAAATTTCATGACAGTACCAAAAAAATATTTTTTTACGATGACAATACTCATGTTCACAAAAGTGTCTTAACGATGACAAAATTCAACGTATTGAAGAACGAATTGATTGAGCATTCACTGTATTCACCAGATTTGGCTCCCAGTTCTTCAGAAATCGGAAACAATTCCTTACCACGAAAGCGTTTTTCATCGCATTAAAAAGCCGTAGATGTTTATTCTGCAGAGTTATTATAAGGATTTCGAGCGCAGAAATGTATCACGAAGATTATTATGATTATTGCTATGGTTATAAATATCTTTATGGTTTTTATGATTATTAAAATTTTTTTCTGATTATTATGATTATTAATATTTTTTTATGATTTTTATTATGATCTTTATGATTATTAATACTTTATTATGATTTTTATGATTATTAATACTTTATTATGATTTTTATGATTATTAATACTTTATTATGATTTTTATGAT